GTCGAATAAACTAAACCAGACAGTTTTAAAATTGTATTGCAAACCAGCTATAATTAGCTAAACCAATTGCGTTTTATATAACGAAATCGATAAACCACATTGAACTAGTACGACGGTTATTTAACGGGTACGACGGTTATTGAACTGGGACGACGGTTATTGAAATGGTACGACGGTTATTGAACCGATACGACGGTTAAATAGGTTTCTACGGTCATATACAAGACTTTCTACGAACACTGTACTAACAAAAATCGATAAAAAAAAAAACTACTGTCGTTTGGGTTTAGTTCTCGGAACTTGTCGCCGGTTTTTACTGTACATCCGTTTACCGTTTAAGGTAAGTCGAATTTATTGCCGACTTCTCTTTCGGATAGAAGTCGTCTGTGTAATTCACAAACCCTAATCTCCTTCGCTTCCTATTTTAGATCTGGTGTCGCCGCCGTCCATAACTGTTTATTTCCGCCGTTTGTTCATTTCCGCCGTTGGTCGTGGAAAGGTATTTGGCTGTACTAATTTCTTATAATTTGTAATTAAATATCTTTACGGGTTCCAAGTTCCTAGTCGTTTGGGTTTCTACATCGGTTTTTATAGAAATCGGACAACACCGAGTAGATATTTCCAAAGTCGGACAAAAATCGAATACCCGTTTCCAAGTTTCTAGTTGCTGTGAATTAGAGATATTTGTACTTTTTTTTTATTTATTAAACGGACTTGTATAGTGTTTAGGCGAACTATTTTGGAAGTATTATCTCGTAAAACGGAGTTCAAAACGGAGTTCAAAACGGGTTGTGTTTTTTTTAAAGAACTTTTTGAAACTTGTTTAATTAGACTATTAGGTCTACAGACTTCAATTGCAGACTTAGTTGGCTGACTTCGTGTGCAGACTTCTTCGGAAGTCTTCATAAATAGACTTCTTGAATATTGGACTTCGTTTTGCAGACGTCAGAACAGCCAATGGAAAACCCAGAGTTCCCCCTACGTCTCTTCTCGAAAGGCGATGAGCCGTCTCCGCTGAAAAGCATCGGTTACTATAGCGGTGAGACGAAGCTGATGACTGCACTCGAGGAAGCACTCACACAAGATGAGTGGGAAGAGATATTGAACTCTAGACTGGGAGTGTTCTTGAAGTTCAGTCAGTTGGATTTCGGCTGGGCATCTAGACTGGTGCATTACATTCTCGGCATGCAGCTAGTTTGCAAGAAAAAATTTGAGATTTGGAGCCTCGTAGGTCTGATCCCGATCCGCTTTTCTTTGAATGAGTTCGAACATATTACTGGCTTGAATTGCGAGTACGTGGACAACCTCGAGGATCCGGTGGTTGAGATAACTGATGAGATGAAAGATTTCTGGGAGCGATTGGGAGTCAATCAGGAGTTGGGCCCGAGCACTGAAGATTTGATAGAAGCTTGTAAGGAATGCGGGTCGTGGTCTTCCGAGGATCGGTTGAGGCTGGGATACCTTAGCATTTATACTAGTTACATTGAAGCACGAAAGCCATCTTCAGCTACTCGGGCTAGGTTGGCAAGGCTTATGATGGATTTAGAAGCGTTTGAGAACTACCCTTGGGGAAGAGGGGCCTTCAAAAACCTGATGCGGTCGGTGAAGGAGAAAGAAATTTGGAAGTCGTCGTACACCATTGAGGGGTTTGTTCAAGTACTACAAGTCTGGGTTTACTTTGCTCTTCCCGACTTTGCTGCTAAATTTGGTGAACCACTTCCAGGCGACCACAATGTACCGCTGATAGCTTTCAAGGGATCCAGGGGGAGGAAATTTATGAAAGAGAATATGCTCCGACAGGTAAGTAGTCTGAATTCACACTTGGTTGACTATTATATCGGCAGACTTATTTAGTAGACTTCTAGTGCAGACGTCTGTAGTATACAGCAGACTTATTAGGCAGACTTCTTAGGAAGACTTCTTAGGGAGACTTTTTAGGAAGACTTCGTAGGCAGACTTCTTAGGAAGACTTCTTAGTTTTGATTTCCGCATTATACGTTATATAACTCTGTTTTGATTTCCATGTAGACACGCATTAACAACTACGTTGTTAAGGAATTCTTCGACATGTTTCTGCGCTAGGAAATTAAAGACGATGATGAAGAAGACGAGAGGACTGACAACATCATCAAAGCGATGTATGGTCATTTTGGCCCTAAAAAATGGACATGGGAAAGGAGTCATTGGCCTCCAACAGGTGTGACCAAGTATGTCAAGTCCGAAGGGTCTGTCGATCTGAAGAGGCGATCGGAATCAGTTGGTGATCAAGGAAGTCGGAAGCGGTTCTGCCCAGCCTCTGGTGAGGAAGATGAGTCAATGGTCACGATTCTGAAGGACCACATGGACGACTGCTTCAACAAGATGATGGATGGGTTGAGTAGTTGTGAATCTCAGATCAAACTACTCAACACAAAGTTGGGAACGGTGGAGCAGAAATTAGAGGCAGTGATCCTCCAAGCTGGGACCGGAGGTACAAAGGAGGATGTGGCTCAGATTGGTGAAGCAGACGCCGAGGGCGCAAAACCTGTTGGCGACGATCAAACGGACGCGGACGCCGATCCTAATATCGGGGTTAGTCCAAAACCCGCTCCAAAGAAAAGAGAAAGGAAACCCCGGAAAAAATAAAATTCCATATTTATTTTCAAACTTCTCATCGAACCTTACCAATCTGTTTTAAAACCTTAAAACGTTGTCACCACTAAATATTTAATGTTTTTATTTGTACTCTTTAATGTTTGATGTTTGGTTTCGTTTCATTGATGTGTGTTTAAATCTTTATATTTGCAGAGTAATTTTATGTCTAAGCAAAATGAACAAACTGATGTCCCAAGTGAGAGCGTGAACGATGGTAAGCAGGGAACTCCAGAGCCAAGCGTTGTTATGGTTGATCCAGCAAAATGCGACATCGACTTCGATCAGGTCCAGAAAGATAAACACGAGAAAGGCAAGAAGGCGGCACAACTGGTTGCTCGTGCGAAGAGTGAACGTCTGCGAAAGTTGGCTCCTACACAACAAAGCCCTTTCAAACCCAACAGCACAGCGAAGGAAATAATCCCAAACAAAAATGTCCGAGGGTGCGGATATGATCCGTTTGATATGAAACACGTGAAGCAAAAGATCGGTGTGCTAACTGATTGTCTGAAAAAAGATCCGTAAGTCTTTGTTTTAGAGTTAGCATAAAGCAGACTTTCCATTGTAAGAGTAGTGGATGATATTGTAAAATGGTGTTGTTTTCAGGGCATATCCGAAGTGGGTAAAATGGTCATCCGTGGACTGGTACTTCATTCTAAGAGTTCCTAAACAATGGCTAGCAGACACTGTAAGTTACGCGAGTGTATATATGATATGAACACAACATATTACACTCTGCTTGAATAATTGTTTTCATTGAATATGCAGCACATGGAAGCTGGGATTAACCTACTCAGGCTGCGATTTACAAAACATCCTGAGTGGTTTAGGTCGGACAGGATAACATTCCTCGACTCTTACTTTGCAACGATGTGGAGGTACAAGTACAAGGAGTTTGTGGACTCTCACGCCAACCCTGATGGTTCAGGCAAGCTCCTTCTAGCTGGCTCGTTCGAGTACTACACTGGCGCAGCCCCAACCTACTGCGTTAGTAACAAGACGTGGGGGTATGATGTGGATGACCTGTACTCGATGTTACACATCACTGATGATCACTGGGTGGCAATGTGGATTTCGATTCCGATGAAGCATATTGTCATTTGGGATAGCCATGCGAATACTCATGCATCGGATATTCAGATTGAGGCTGCTGTGACTCCGATTACCGTCTTGGTTCCCTACATACTCCGTGAGTGTGCACCTGCTGAAGACCGTATCAATCTGACTTATGATCCGTTCACGTGGGAGCGAATCAAGGGGTATTTGATCCCACAAAACAAACAAAGCAGTGACTGTGGCGTTTACTGCTTGAAGTACCTTAAATGCCATGTTCTAGGGATGCCATTTTTGAAGACCTTGTGCGATGCAAACATTAAAAACATCCGAGACAAGCTGGCAGCTGAGATATTTGACGAGACAGGAGTAATCGGCACAGAGAAGTATGAGTATCCATGGCTGGACGTATACGAAGGTAAGTGATATGTCCAACTATGTATATTCTGTAATGAAAGAGAAAGGACTCTCGTTGGGTATGGTATGGTTGGAAGTTTTTGGTTAACCTGCCAGAATTGTTGTTCTCTTATTTAACTGTAATGTTCCTAACTAATTTTGGTTTGTTTAGTAATATTTAGAACAATGGTGTGGTAGTATGTTTTGGAGGCTAAACGCTTGTAATAGACTAGTGTGGCTTTTGTGATAATTCACGTACTCTAAGGTTTACCCTAGTCATAGCTTATTATATCGCATAGTTTATGACAATAATTAAGAATGATCGTACATAGACATTAAACAGACATATTTCAGTAGTGTTTCCCTTACCTGGTGAAGCAGACTTCTTGTGCAGACTACGGTAGAAGACTTCTAGTAGTAGTCTTCAGTGTAAGTCTGCTATTATAGTTTTAGGGTTTTATCTTGACTTCAACGTCTGCAAAAAAAAAAACAGAGGAAATTAACTTCGACCCTAAACCCTTAAAGTATGAGGTAACATAACACTTACACAATCCGGTCTAGTATGTCCTGGTTGGTGACATTTCGAACAACTGTACTGCTTGTGGATCTTACGGGGTTTCTTTTGCTTATGCCTCGAAATTTCCAGCCAAGTTTGCCATCTTGATTTCCTCTGCCTGCCTTTTTTACGTCGGACCTCCGGAGGTAGACATTGTGTTGTTTCATCGGTTTTCATTGCAATGCTTGGAGGATATATATATGCGAGTACGCTGCATACAAGTAATCTTTGGAGTATGTCGGGCATACAAGAGTGGCCAGATGCATATGCATTGCATCTGAAACGGCTATAACATGAGAGCAAGGTATTTTCTCAATATCATACACGCCACACCCACACTTTCGAAGTTCCAAATCAACGACATAGTTATGTGATCCTCCTTTCACATTGAATCGCCAACCATCTATGCCTTCAACCGTCAACTTATCAGCATAATGTGAACGAATTGCCAAAAAATATTCAACTCCTCGAGTATGGTTGGTTGGAAGACTCAAAGCATCCCTTTTACAAAACCACTTTGTTAGCTTCGCCCGTAAGTACTCCAACAGGAATACTATGGGAAATCCCCGTGCCCGTTTGAGAGCAGAGTTGATAGACTCTGCGATGTTGCTCGTCTTTATATTGTATCTATCACCTGGAAAGTGAACTCTTGACCACAACTGAATGCCAGCCTCCTCCAGGTACGTTGCAAGGTCAGGTTTTATATGCCTTATCTCGTCCATATAACGGTTAAAATCATGTACCGTATATGCATACGCAACACGTTTGACTAAGTACATAAGATGCTTCCCCTTAAACTTAGTGACAATATTGTGTTGCAGATGATAATAGCATATACCGCGTGTTACCCATGGTAATACAGTCTCACATGCATTCTTAATGGAATGATGCCGGTCTGAAACTATCACCAATGGATACTCGTCTGTAAAACACTCCCGCAATTTTCTAAAAAACCATTCCCATGCGTGATCATTCTCAGAGTCCACTATTCCAAAAGCTAGTGGAAATATCTGGAAGTTACCATCTTGTGCTGTGGCCACTAGCAGAGTCCCTTCATACTTTCCAGTCAGATGACACCCATCGACAACAATGACCCGTCTGAGATATTGAAAACCAGCTATGGAGGCTCTGAAGGCTAAGAATAGGTACTTGAACCTATTCTGACTGTCGCGTTCAAGGGTAGTTATAGTACCCGGATTTGCTTCAGCGATCAGACGCAAATAAGAAGGCAGTCGGCTATATCCATCCTCAGGGCTTTCCCTCACACATTCTTGTGCATACATCAAAGCTCTATACGAAGTTGTGTAGTCTATTTTCAATTGAAACATCGTCTGCATTGAATCTTTGATGTGTTCTGCAGTAATCCCATCAATTATTCCCACACGCTCTATAAATAACTTTCCAATGTATCTTGGAGTCGTATGCTTTCGGTGAGCCAACCGATCTGAAACTGAACAGGTATGAGATTTGACATATTTAGTGACCCAAAACGTCTTTGTTTCGTTCTTTACAGCTGCTCTAACTCTCCATTGGCATCCTTTAACAGCACATTTAGCAACAAACAGACGTGTCGATGACTTATCAACTCTGAATGCAAACTTCAACATAACACCCGTCAACCTGATCTCAGAAATCAGGTCGTCTTTTGTAGCAAAACTTCCGTTTACTTTTATTTTGTCAACCCAATTTCTTTCATATCCTCTTTGAGGAGCCTTCACCGGTTCTTCAATCCACTCACCCTCACCCTCTGAATCAGAATTTGAATCCTCATCCTTCACTTTCCCATATTGGCTGTAGTCCTGATCCTCAGAGTCCTGACCCTCAGAGTCAGTACTGTCTTCCTCCTTTACTGAATCGTTTTTGATGTCCTCGTTTATCTCATCATCATCATACTCATCGACATTTTCATCTTCACCTTCCTCAGTATTTTGATTCCCACCTTCAACAGAACACCCATCAGCAGCATCAACACCACCAGTACGTCCATCATTGTCCTTGCAACTAGATACACAAAGACGTATAGCATGCGTCTTACTCAGCCCAATCAAGTTCTGTACTTGTCTATCATTAGTAATATGCATAGGAGGGGTATCCGGAGCCATGTTTGCTAACATTGAATCTGGCAATGCATAAGTGATAGACACGCTGTCCGTATTTCCATCCAGCATGTAATCATCTAGAGCCATAGCTTCGAGTTCTCCATGTGTACAACCATCATTCAAGAAGAACAACCTCCCTCCTTTGCGATTATCCACCTCAAAATGCCACGACTGAGCACTCATAACCCATTCTCCAAATACAACAGGCAACTGAGCCGCCATCTGCAAAAAAGGTAAACCACACAAGATAAACCGTGTTTTTCAAGTAACATAGAGCTTTATAATCGGCTAAACGTCTAAACATTCAAGAAAAGTCATCACTTTCTAATTATAACACATATCAATGTGAAACTCACGTATATGGAACCAAGAAAGGCAGATCAACATGTCCAAACAATATATTTATTTTAGCATATACCATTAATTCGAAAACGAATTTTTTGCTAAAATAATTAGGCAGACTTCAAGTGTTGTCTGCTGTGTTATTCTCCTTCGACAGGCAGACTTCAGTGGCAGACTTCTTATGAAGTCTGCTAATATGTGCCAATTACCGTTCAAATCTACAAAAATTATAACTATTAATGTATAACACATAAGCATACAAAATTAATACAGGTAAAGGAAATATACCTTCTAAACAAGAATAAAAATTAAAAAAAAAAATTTCATCACACAAAAGTTTTAAAAAAGTACTTTTTAAAAATGAAAAAAATGCAGACTTCCAGCAAAACTCCACCCGGTTGCTTTCACGAAGAAGTCTGCCAAAAAGGCAGGGTTACTTTTGCAATTGACCAAATGTTTGACTTTCGTAGTAGACTTCTATATAAAGTCTGCATAAGAAAAAGGTTATTTCTGCAATTGACCAAACGTTTGACTTTTACAACAGACTTCTTACGAGGCAAGAAGTCTTCTGTTAATGTGAAGTCGGCTGACGAAGTCTACACTACCAACGAAGTCTGCTGCAGGTTATTTCTGCAATTGACCAAAGTTTGACTTTTGTAGCAGACTTCTTTAGAAGTCTGCCGAGAGGTTATTTTTGCATTTGACCAATTCTGAATTAAATTAATAGCAGACTTCTAAGTCTGCTCGAACAGTCAAAGGTGGTCAACATCTTGGTCAAATGCAAAAATAACCTTTCAGGTCAAACTTATCTTTTTCAGACATCTCCACGAAGTCTGCAGAAAAGGTCAAAGTATAATATTTTCCGGTCAAATGCAAAACTATTCTCGCTTTTCGACAGCCTGAAATAGAAGTCTAAACGTTGTTTTTTTGTATTCAAATGAAAATTCGCAGACTTACAAAGAAGTCTACTTTCAAAAAATACCAAAAGGTCAATTGCAAATCTAACCTTTTACGTTGGCTAGCAGACTGTAAAAGAAGTCTACTTTCGCGAAACATAGCCCAATGTTAAAGAAAAGATTTAGATGTTTACCTCCTTCCAATTTGAACTCGATTAACTTTGACAGAAGTTCAGAATTTTTGAGATGCACGGAAAGGAAACCAGCCCAGAACTCGGTTATCCAAGAATCTCACAAAATATATGATTTGCGAATTCAAACATATCAATGTCGACTAAGAAAGAGATTTTTAGATGAAATCAGATAGAAATTTGAAGATAGAATGAAGTTTGAGCGGCCAAATAAGCATTTAGAGCTTCAAGTGCAGATGGGCAAGCATTAAGAGCTTCCATTTTGGTTGGTAATGGTAGTTGGAGAAATTGAAGATGATGGCATTTTCGTGAATACTTAAAATAGCTTAGGATGGGTATGTCTTTTTCGAATTACCTAAAAAATTCGATAATTATAAATATAATGGCATTTATGTTATTATATGTGGCTTTAGGGAGAAAGTGGGGAGAAATTGGCTAATATTGAAGAGGGAGAAAAAAGAGATTAGATTTGCATTTGACTTCAATTTTGAGGTCATATGTGCAAGAAGCCCATCAATGTAAAGATTAGTAGGGTTAGGATTTTATAAGTGTTTTTAACGTGATCTTTCATTTTTTTAAGCATGATTTTTTTTTATCCAACCGTTATCGTCCGCAACCACAAACGCTGGCGGGATACAGCTTTTGGATTTCAGTGGTATAAAACGATACGGAGCGGTTTGCAGTGATTTGTATAATAACAATCGATTGTTATAAAATGCCACTAACCACCACCAACCACAAACACAGCGTTTGCAGATGATAGCGGATGAACTAATCAACACCTAAATGGCAGTGATACAATGTCTAATTAATTTTTTAACGATTTAGATATTTACAAGATCAATCAATATGTTAAATATACTTCATAAAATATAGTATATATATATATATATAATAGTATAGCTAGCTCGTAAATAATAAATTTAACATTATATAATCTTAAATAGATTTAAATTGATAATAACAACTCTTAAGTTCTTAACTGATATCAATGCCTAGTAAATAATCGTCACAATCTATACATGCTTAACTCCTAGGCACTGGCTAAACGGTCGCCTAAACCATGTTAATTGTATATCAATTAGAGTGATAATACTTCAGAAAAAAATCAGATTCCCCAACTAATTTCTTAACTTCTAAACATTGTCTAAACTAAAGTCTTAAAAGTTAAAACTCTAAAGTGAGGAAATTGAGACCAAGGTCGCCCTTTGTTTTCCGTCGTAATATGTTGTCGACGTCAGAAAAAAAAAGCTGTTACACGTTTTTTTTAGTGTGCAACATACGTTGTTATACATTTATGAATAAATGATAAGCGGATGATGCGGAGGATGATAATGAATGCAGCACAATTAAGTGCTTATCATTTTTCCTAGAGCTGTGCTGAGGAGAAGTCAACGACACACTTTCTGTGTTTCTGTCTCACAGATCCAATCATCCAATCCAAAACCATAGTTTCAATTCCATGTGGCTCTTGAGTCTTGAACAACGAGAAATGTGGTGATTGCGTGAGAGTGTGTGCAAAAATTGTTTTTGATCACATGGCTCACTATTTAAAAAAAATATATATTTCTAACTATTAGTTAGAAAAGACGAACATGCCGTCTTTCTCGACAAGTTGAATGTTCATAATAAAAAAATTATATTATTAGAAATGACTGAATTTATAATACATATTTAGAAATGACTGAATTTATCTTTTAACTATATAAACACATATTTAATCATTTGTGATAACAAACAAGAATTTGTAGCTTACTAGTTGTCACTACTTTTGCAATCCGATTCAACTCGCAGTTATATATGTGATCCAAGTTAAAGACTAAAATATAGTTCGCGTGGAGTAAAAAATGACCAAAAACAAGAATCGTTTGCATTTAATGTTTTCTTTGATTTCAATATATAGTTAATTATGTAGGTTAGCGATATGTCGATATAAATAGCATGTGAAGCGAAGGATGAATATCAGGAGAGAAGAAAAATGATATGTGCAAGTGCAACTAACCATTTGCTTATGACTTTTGCTTCTTGGATTCTAGATATGATGTTAATAATAATCATATTTTATAAAAACAAGGCAACGATATTTAATTGTTGTCAATCGGATTAATTTTAAATGTTTTAAAAGTATCCAAGATCTCGTACGGCGTTCTTTTAGCTATTATACTAGCTGCAGATCGTTTGTTGCCGGACCAGTTGGTGTTAGAAGTTAACAAAATATAATTGTTTAAGAACTATTTTTCGTAGCTTACTTCATTTACGATAGTTTAGTTTTTTTTTTTTTCCTTGTTGATGTTGGAAAGGTGACTACATTTCTCTGATATGGTAGATGGTCCAAAAATATTATGGGCTAAAAACCCATAAATGTTTTGGTAATAATGAAACAAAAAAAAACATCCAAAATCATCCTAAAGTGCTATACATATACTGATATACATATACTTGTGTTGTGTGATATAATATAAATTGAAAAGGTTTCAAGAAAAAAAAAAGATATAATATAAATTACAATATACTACAATTCTCACTTACGATTGTAAATGAACTGTTTTTTTTTTTTTGACCAAAGGCTTAATAAATGAACTGTTCCTCTATCTTTAGTTTCGTTTTCTTAAACAAAATATCACCAATATTGATCTCAACCTAATTAATGACTTTTAAACAAATTAATATTGCTGTTTTTCACTAGTTCTAGATAACAAATAATATACAGTTTTTCTTTCTTTTATAAACTTAGACTTATATGCAAGTTAGTTCATGTTGCTTCTTTTGCTAACTTGCATATGTAAGTCTACATCAAGCATGGCGCATTAGCTCAAAATCAAATTTTCATACTCCGATAAATTTTGAATTCGTTGTTGTTAATTTGTAAACATTTTCTGAAGTAATTATAGGAATCAAGTCGTTCAAAAACAAAGTGTTTAACCATACCATCAGCTGTTTTGTTTGGCTCTTCATGCACACAACAAAGGAGTCAATTTTAAGTTTAACTTGGGACCTTCATCGAGGAATTTTATGTAGACAATACTACTGATAGAGGCGTGAGGCGTCTATGTTTTTGTTAAAGTATCAGTACCTTCTGAAAATCCCCCTAAAACAATATCTTTATACTAAAGAAATAGTGATCCCATCGTTCACGCAATAAGAAAACAATATACTATACATGCAAAGGCATCTCACTCATGACCTCAAAAGTCACAATATATTTTGTTTACTTGTTCATGCATTAATGTTAAAAACCACCACAATATATAAATATAGCTTGGAGTCATGTTCCCACTCTCTAGTCTCTTACAGCTTTTACTTTGAAATTCCTTAGCAAAAGATGAATATGATGATGCACAAAATCTCTTTTCTTTCTCTTCATTTACTGTTACTATTACTACTCTATCTCCATCCTCTCACCACCGTAGCCGACGGAAATTTCACCACCAGCATTGACCAATGGTGCAACAAAACTCCATACCCTGATCCATGCAAACACTACTTCAAAAACCACAATGGTTTTCGCTTGCCGAGACAGCTATCCGAGTTCCGAGTATTGCTGGTGGAAGCAGCCATGGATCGAGCTATATCCGCTCGAGACAAGCTGACTCAGTTCGGCAAGAACTGTACTGATTGTCGGAAACAAGCGGTTTTGACTGACTGCATTGACCTATACGGAGACACGGTCCTGCAGCTAAACTGGACGCTGCAAGGCCTGTCTCCAAAAGCCCATGCCGGAAAACGGTGCACCGACTTTGACGCTCAAACATGGCTAAGCACCGCACTTACAAACACCGAGACTTGCCGACGCGGCTCATCTGATCTAAACGTCTCAGATTTCACCACACCAATCGTTTCAAACACCAAAATCTCCAACTTAATAAGCAATTGCTTAGCCGTCAACGGAGCTCTCTTGACCGCCGCAAACAACGGTTCTGCCACCGCTTATCGGAAGGGTTTTCCGGCGTGGATTTCCGGTAAAGAGAGGAGACTTCTACAATTGCAATCCGCACGTGGCGTCAAAGCCAACCTCGTGGTGGCCAGAGATGGACGGGGACATTTCAGGACGGTGCAAGCGGCGATTAACTGGGCTGGACGGAGAAGAGTGAAGTCGAGGTTTGTTATATACGTAAAGAGAGGGATATATCAAGAAAACATAAACGTACGTCTCAATAACGATAACATAATGTTGGTCGGCGACGGAATGAGATACACCATTATCACCGGTGGTCGTAGTGTCAAAGGCGGTTACACCACTTACAGCTCCGCCACTGCCGGTAAATAATTAAATTTTTAATATATAATATAAACATATATATTACATAATATATACAATAATTTCTCAAATGTTGCTATATGAAAATAAATAATCGCAACTCATCAATGTTTTCCCATATGAGAACATGGCACGGTAAAAACCGGACTGTGAAAACCTACACGGTTTGGTTTCTCATGTATAAGAGGAACTTGTTAGAACGATAGATAGACCAACATAACCCAATTTTTGGATTTCAGAATCATGCATCATTGTTTTGTACTATATAATCGTTTAATTTGCTTTCAATCTTTGTTATAATTAAATTTCTCGATATTGTAGGAGTAGTCTTTAAAAGTAAAACCTCTTCGTTCTTTGGAGTTTGGATAAATTTCTCGATACTATATAATCGTTTAATTTGCTTAGTATATTTAAACATATTTAACGAAATTTTAAATTTGATGATTCAAATAAAACTTTCTACAAGAAAAAAAACACTCACAAAATGATTATACGTACGTACATATATATATGTGAATCATGTGAGCAAAATAATTAATTTTTTCTTTGGAGTTTGGATATTCATGTGATGAATTGGGACCACTGGAAATTTTTTTCTCTAACTTGTGTTACAATTTTTGATTGAAACGCCATTTATTTAAATCATTTCATCTGACATCCGTTTACCACACATAATTAAGTTGCTCAATGCATCATATTATATATTGTTTGAGAATGCTTTTTCATATTGGGAGAGTGAATTAATGTTATAGCAACATCAATATTATGATGCAAAAAAAAAATCAATAATATGATTAATGCAACGCATATAGACCTTTTTAAGTAAATAACATCTATATTTCAATAAATTGCCTGTGATACAGGTATCGAGGGACTTCACTTCATAGCCAAAGGCATAACATTCCGGAACACGGCTGGTCCAGCCAAGGGCCAGGCCGTGGCACTCCGCTCATCCTCAGACCTCTCAATCTTCTACAGATGTGCAATCGAAGGATATCAAGACACACTGATGGTCCATTCGCAACGCCAGTTTTACCGTGAGTGCTACATCTACGGAACAGTCGATTTCATCTTCGGAAATGCAGCCGTCGTTTTCCAAAACTGTCTCATCCTTCCTCGCCGGCCACTCAAAGGTCAAGCTAATGTCATAACCGCACAAGGACGTGCTGATCCTTTTCAAAACACAGGTATCTCTGTCCACAACTCAATGATCCTACCAGCTCCTGACCTAAAACCTGTGGTCCGTAGCGTTAAAACGTACATGGGCCGGCCTTGGATGAAGTACTCGCGCACCGTGGTTCTCAAGACGTATTTGGATGGTTTTTTGAGTCCGGTTGGGTGGTCTCCGTGGATTCGAGGTTCGAGCTATGGTCTTGACACGTTGTTCTATGCAGAATATAAGAATATCGGACCAGCTTCGTCCACGAGGTGGCGTGTTCGTTGGAAAGGGTTTCATGTATTGAATAGAGCTTCTGATGCATCTGCTTTTACTGTTGGAAGATTCATCGCCGGTAACGCGTGGCTCCCACGCACCGGCATACCCTTCAAGTCCGGACTCTAAACCGCCGTATTTGGTTTGTCATTTTTAAGTTACAATGATGATTTTTTGTAACAACTTTTGAATATAATTCATTATGCTTATATACTATGAAAATAAAGTTTCAGCTATGGTCTTATGGATGGACAAAAGAGAATTCAGTACATGAAATTGCAAAAACAAGACTGAGGCGAAATTTTGAATATAGTTGTGCCCTATATATTTCACTCTCATTTGAATTTTGAACTTTGCGAATGAAACAAAATCGCCTCGTCCTGTTCCCCTTCAATTTGAAAATGTGATCCTAATAATTTTGAACACTTTGATCCTCCTTAACAAAGAAGGGCTCCATTATCCGAGTAGACTTTCTGGCTTCTTTATCCAAATGCATGCATTGTTGTATGTTTTTTTTCTACTTCATTCTTCCACTTTTGTAAGTTTTGTAAGGATTTATGTAGTGATATAACCGTCGAATTCGACATCATACTGAGTGAAGAGAACATGAATATGGTGCGGGAAATGGGATTTTTGCGAAAAAAATATTACTCACCACGCCAGTTCTTAGGACCAACATGCATCTCTTTCATGTAAAAGAGTTTACAAAAAAAATATATATACTCCTGAACAAAGTAAGAAGAGATCGATGGAATCCAACTCCCAGAACAAGAAAACTTCTTTCAAGAGCGCCCATCTTGTCCCATGTTCTAGTTGATGATATCGAAATTGAACTAACTAATTCATCTAGGCCAATATCTCATTCGACGTTCAATGAGAGTATTGCCTTGCGCTTGAGTTTGATCTAAAGTAAGAATTCTGGTAACAACTAGAAAGTGAAAGCATGAGTTTACGGAAAACATAGTATAGGTGAAACTAATTTGAGCGCTTCGTCCCTATCCTAAAACTCTGTAAAGCACTTATCAGATACATGGTTTAGAAAAGGCTATTGTCATAGTAGCATTGTAAATAAGGCTTTTTACTAGTTAACTTGTCCGCGTCTGGCCCGTACTGATTTATTTTTTTATTTAGACTTTTGAAAACATAGTAATAGTTTAGTTTTTTTTTATTGAGTATGCATTTTATTATTTGTAGACAATTGTGATAATATAGTAAAAATGAGTAGAAAATGCATATTAATATCAAAATAATTTTGTTTAAATTACTTCAAGATCTTTTGGTCATTGTTCTACGTATTTTAGACATGGTTTATTTGTGTTTATTCAGGATTTATTTTTTGAGTTTAAAATCTTTTGTTATTTATATGTTTGACGTTTTAGGTATTGTTTTTTTTTTCATAGGATAATGATAGGGAGTATTATGTGTCTTTTTAAACTTTTGGATATTTTTTTTCTTTGTTTATTGTATCTCTATTGTTGTGCATGGTTGTTTTTATAATTTTTTGTAGCTTATTTTTTATAAAATGTAAGATAATATATAGTATAACACTCCTACATAATAATGAAGTTAAGCACATTAACAAAAAATATTGAACTAAAACAGAGTACTTTTTAGTTTGTGTATTATGAATAATTGATTCTCATAAGAATATAAAATTAAAATTAACTATAAATTTAATCATAAAATTGTTTTAAATAACTTTGTAAATGGTAATGAAATAATCTTTCAATGCAATTTGATATCTTACTCTAAATAATATTTGTCTTATTTAAAAATATATAGTCTATATGTTGGCAAAAATCTCCTTGTAAACGATATTCTTTGTGGTTTTGTGCGGTGCTCATTTGTTGTCAGTGATCAATATCTTTAATTCCTTTTTCGTTGACTCTTGAAAATGCAATGTAAAGTTGACCATGAGAGCTGGTTTTGACAAATACAATCCTACTTTCTCCAAAGTCTGACATTGACTTTTGTTTATCGTTACTACAAAAGCAAGCGATACTGGAAATTGTCTTCTGTGCATCTTGAAAGGGACACTACAAGAAAACAGGTTTTTAGTGACGAACAATTCAATCGCCAATCAGTTGCTATTAGTGGTTTTGCGACTGAGTAGCGACTAAACAAATTAGTCATTAATATAACGTCGCTAAATATTCAGTCGCTAATCGGTCACAAAATAATGACTAATTCGCGACTGCTTAACGACTACAACATTCAGTCGTTAAATAGTCGGCACTTAGTAGTTAATTCGACTAACAAGCGACTGCGTTTGTGACTAATTAGCGACTTTGTCCTCGGCCGTAGGAACGTCGTGTAAAATCAGTCGCTAATTAGTTGCTAAATGTGCGACCATTTTGCGACTGATTAATAGTCGTGAAAATTTAGTCGCGAAATAGTCGCAGTAAATAACAACTGAATCACGACTACTTTGTTTTCACTTTAGCGACTGATTGAAGACTGATATCACCTTAACGTGATGTTTTGTATGTTTTAGCGACTGATTTACGACGAAGTCGTGACTAATGTACGACGAAGTAGTGACGAATTTACGACTATTTTGATCAAACGGATTCAGGTTTGGTAATCCATTATATTTCCTATTTTCATTTGATCAAATTTGTTCATTACACCAAAAAGCTAAACTCGAAATCAAATAGTTAGCAGAACTTGTAAAAGCAAATATATATTACATAAAACATAGACATTGTTCCAAAACATTGTGATCAAAATACCAAAATAATACATAGCATATCATTGTGATAAGTTCTTAAAGAGAATAAAGGAGCAAAGAAAAACAGAGGCCAACAAGAACCTACGGAGTCTTTGATCGAGTGATTATGTGAAGTCATTGGATTACTTGAAACTTGATTTGCAGCCACAAAATCTAAGAACCCTGGATCAGTTTGAGTCAAGTACCTTTCCACCAGAGCTAACTTGTCGATTCTGGCTTGTTGCTCAGCAGAAACTTTGATAAGCTCTGCCTCACGCCTTGAGTTCTGATCCGCTTGTTCTTCTATTGTTGAGCTTCTTGAAGCTGCTCCTCGAGACCCTTGTATGTTGTCGAGGTTCCTGGGTACTTCCTTTTTCCAGTCGTTTGTGAGAGGCTTCCAATTCCATATGGAATGTCTCTTTCATTTGTGAAAGTCGCCTGCAAAACATTATTAGAATAACAAAGCTGTCAAAATTCAAAGAATAAAAGCATATCATAAAAGACAATGTAAAAAAAGGCTTTACCTGAAGAAAGAGTTCATTTTCCTCTTCTACGGACAGCACCACAGGCGGTGATGTACCATCTGAAGTCTCGGAGTCTACCCCAAGATCAGCCATCTTTTCTTCCAGTTTCTTCTTATATGCTTCAGCCACGGTCTTGGACTTTCGGTCTACAAATGTGCCATCCGATTTTGTATGAGTCTTGATGAAAACTTCATCAAGACTCACCGGCCTTCCAATTTATTCTTCCTGCAATGAAAAAAAAAGTCAAACAAAAGAGTTTAAAGATGTATAGACATAAGGATGAATGAAAAGGGAAGAGAACTAACCATATCTTGTTGGATTTGTATGTACGACTTCTGGCCTGAGAAGTGGACATGAGGTCCAAGACCATCACGTTCAGACATCCTTGCAGCTGATGTAGTGGCACTCTTCTCCTTGGCTTCTTCAGTGTTCCAGTATTCAGTCATTTGTTTCCAGAGAGTGTCGCCAATCCAGTTGGATTGCTCCCGAGTAGTCCTTGCCTTGCTCACCATATCCTTCATCCGATTGAGACAGATGCTCTCAAACCTTTTTTGGACAACACCGGTTACTAATGGATCCCAGGTGTGTGTTTTCTACATTAGAAACATAGAAAATGGTATTAGCGAGTGAAAAAAAATCTGTCAAATTAATCAAAGGAGAAGAAACGATGAAGTCTTATGCCACAAATGCCTAAAATGCCTCAAATGAATCAAATGAGTAGAAGATCTTTTAAGCGAGTGAAAACTAAGAAACAATTTAATCTAATGCCTCAACTAACTCAAAGAATCAAATGCCTCAATAACTTCAAATGAATCAAACAAACAAATGCTATAAATACCTCAAACGACTCAAACAAACAAATGCTTGAAATGCCTAAAATGACTGAAAATCATCAAAGAAACAAATGAGAATAAGAATGAAATACTTACCGCAAATTCAATGAAGTACCGTTCTTGTCTCTCTCGAGGCACACAGGTCCAGCTGTAAAAGGGACCGTCGAACTTTTTTGTAAAGATCTTGGTGATCTTTCGGGTAAGTTTAGATTTGTCCCGACCAAACCTACAAAGTCAGATACAAACAAGTTACCAGTTATCAAAACATACATAATTGTTACCTAAACTAAGCAATGAATTCGCATACAACACCTAAAATCAAGTTCCACACCTAAACATGTAAACTAAGCAATGAATTCGCATACCATGTTGAAACCTAATCAAGTTCCAAACCTAATCAAGTTCAAACCTAAACAACTAAACTAAGCAATACAAGCTGAAAATGAAAGCATTACCATGTTGTATTAGGCTTCGGTATAGGAGATAGGACTGTGGTGAAAGCTTCCCTTCCTGGTTGTGTAAGCAAAGCGTTCAAAAAGTTTTATTGATTTTTTCTTAATGGATGATCTTGTGGAAGAAACCTTCTGTGACAATCAAACCAACATGTCTTCCTTCCATTAGGGAGATAAAAAGCCTTTGTATCTTCCATGCAAATTGGACAAGACAATTTACCATGAGTAGTCCATCCTGATAACATACCGTATGCTGGAAAGTCACTTATCGTCCACAGCAGCACAGCTTTTAAATTGAAGTTTTGTTTCAGGGACACATCATATGCATTCACTCCAGTAGACCATAGATCTTTTAACTCATCAATAAGAGGTCGGAGGAATATATCAAGACTGGCTCGTGGATGATTTGGCCCTGAATTCAATATTGTCAGGAACAAATACTCTGTCTTCATGCACATACCAGGAGGTAAATTATAAGGGGTCAAGATCACATGCCATAAAGAATGATTACGAGACATGCCAAATGGATTAAACCCATCTGTACATAATCCAAGATAAACATTTCGGGGTTCTTCAGCAAACTGATGATGTAGATCTTGAAAATATTTCC